AAGAGCTTGTAACACTCCAAAGAGAAAGGAAAAAATGAAATTGCATCATATGACCCCTTTAAAAAGAAGAGCATTTATTTAAAATAGAAATCTTTTCTAACAACATACACCACAGTTCAAAAGTTTGGGGTCAGTAAATTTATTCTTTCTTTTTTTTAAAGAAATTAAAACTTTTATTCAGCAAGGATGTGTTAAATTGTTAAGAAGTGATAGCAAAGATTTCTTTTGTTAGAAAAGATTTATTTTGAATAAATGCTGTTCTTTTTAACTTTTTATTCATCAAAGACTTTTTAATTCATCAAAGTATCGCAGTTTCCAAAAAAATATTTGGCAGCACAACTGTTGCCAACATTGATAATTCTAATAATAAATCAGCATATTAGAATGATTTCTGAAGGATCATGTAACACTTTATACTGGAATAATGGCTGATGGAAATTCAGCTTCGCATCACAGAAATAAATTATATTTTAAAGGATATTAAAATAGAAACCATTATTTTGTATTGTAATATGTAATAACTAATAATTGTAAGATTACTGTTTGAGAAAGGAAAACTTGAAATCGCATCATATGACCCCTTTAAAGTAATTGGGGAAAAAAACTAACCATAGAAGAAGACAGTTTTTGCTAATGCCTGCAATAGTGCCTCTTGTGGCAGCATTGAGAATGCGACACTTGTGTGGAGTAAATTTAGGGTATAAGTGCTAATCTTGTATATAATCCTATCCATCCTGTTGTACGGATGTTTTTAACATCAATTGCACTGCACAAATGTTCAAAAGTCGCTACAAACAAGACAATCTAGCCAACTAGGTGTCTATATGGATACAAAACATTTAGTGGGAGTGCGTATGTACAAAAATGCTCCTTCTTACATTAAGGAAGCCCACCTGTCCAGCTTGCTGACCACTGTCAGGGCAGACAAGTTGGACAAACTCCTTGAGCGTCTCCTGGGGGTGGTAGCGGATGGCGTGGTGGGAGAAGTACGAGCCAGGCTGCTGGATGATTGGCGATGTCGGGAAATGAAGACTTGACGGCGTGGCGTGAGGACTCGCTGCAAAGAGACAAACAGAGGAGCTTGGTCAGAAAACGATAGAGGGAGAGGAAGGATGGAGAAGAAGAACTCCATGAAGAAAGGACGTGGATGTTGTGGTGGGTTTGTGCTCAGTTGGATTGCTCATGCAGATGGGAATGTACATACAAAGGTGGAGAGTTTTTTATGGGCTTATTGGTTCAAAATAGTCAACACACACACACTCACAAAGTGACGTAGAGGGACTTTCGTGAGGGTGGACGCCATATTTGATTTAACATAAGTGAAAATGAGGCTATGATGGACAGAAATAAAGACTGTTGCATATCTACTGACCCTCATGTCATTCCAAACCTGTATGACTTACTAACTTTCATGGAACACAAAAGAAGATATTGAAGAACAGCAGTGGAACAACAATGACTTTAAAGGTGGGGTAAGCGATTTCTGGTAGCCAATGTTGACATTTTAAATCACCAAAAGAAACACGCCCCTACCCCAAAAGGGTCTCGCCCCTATTTTGATAGCTCCGCCCCACACATACGTACGCACCCCAGGCAACGATTAGTTCTTTGAAACAAAGCAAAACCAATGTTACACCATGTCTACACCGGAC